TCTCCCCATACGATATAATAAACACGTATCCCTGCACCGAATCGTATTGCGGCACCGTGGTCGAATCGTCAACGAGTCTTTAGATTTTAGTTCATTTACATATCATTAATTTATTAGTTATTACAATTCAATTTTACGGATTCTGTGGGTCTGCGTGTGCATGTGTTAATGACTATACATCTACGACTTATACTAAAATCGTGAGAGGGATCATTATTTAAGTTAAATGGCTGATTTTTTATAATTTTTTTAAATATCAATATTTTTGTTAAGTAAATTAAGATCTAGTTTATGTTAGTAACATTTTAATTTTAAATAATATGAAGTTTAATATTATCATAATAAAATAGTAGATACAATAAAAATGTATTAGATTTAACATGAATCTATAAAATGTTCATATAAAATATTTTTTTAAATTAAAATGTTTATTACATAAACTAGATCGTAATTTACTTCACAAAAATATTGAAATTTAAAAAAATTATAAAAAATCAGCCATTTAACTTAAATAGTGTTTTTACCATACACATTTTTCTGAAAGTCAGATTTACAAATTGACTATATTGAATATTTCAAAAAAAAAAAATTATCAATTTTGAAGTTTTTTATTTTCAATATTAAAAAATAAAAAATGTAGCACAATTAGTGTCTACGAATTATATTAAAAGAAATTTTTAAAAAATATTGATTAGAACAAAAGTTATTTAATTTGTCAGATCTCCGTGGGACACCTGTATAGATTTGAATTATTGGTACTCGACAAAAAGTTGAGCAATTGTTTTGAACACCACTTTTTAGATGCCTTAGCAGTTATATTATATATTTTCTCTAATATTATAACTGTAACGATCACAACACGTTTGTTAGAATACCAACCAAGTAAACAAATAAAATATGGATCTAGAAGATCTATCATTTATTCTAAATTACTCAGACACAAACATGCTGATAACTATTAAAATRCATAACTATAAGTTCATTATAATAATTATAATATATTATGTTGTCTAGATGATGTCTTATCTCCTTGTATWYTACACACGTGCGTGTATTTATTTAACAGTTAGCTTTTAATTTTAAAGTGGTCAACAGGAAACGTTTTTAAAGAGAAAATAAAACAGTAAACAAAAATAAATATTTTAAAGCTGCACCTAACACTTAAATCAGTACAGCATGAACACATTTTCAACATGCAAGAGCACACGACTGTCACGACTAATATATAATATCTTAGAAACGAACCATTACTGTTGTTGTGCATTTACAATCCAATATAATAGATGTCCATATATAATAATTTATATGAATAATTATTGGATTCGATTAGTTTTTATCAGACTGGTATTGTTTATTTTTATTATGGGCTCCGTCATTAATCATCATAATTGGTTTAATATGTTTGTTTWTTAATTTTAAACGTAATAATTTTTACATTGTCGATACCAATAATCAAGGAAATGTGTTAATTGGATGAAAAACACTTAATTAAAAACATATATATTTCACGAATCGATTTATCTATGCGTGTTTTGTAAACAACTCACATCCTGCGGCTCAACAGCTGATAAMGAACATGATTTTTCTCGGTACTTAATGTAGTTATTGTTATTCCGTTTGAGCGTTTTAAAATACGAGGCAATTATGTATTCTTAAATTATTTCATACATCTCAACATGCCAGTAAYTAAACAATAAATTAATGGATTTATGATGTATCAGACGATAGATTTGCCAATATTATGACAATATAATATAATAATATGCCCCCGTATACAACGGGACGAACACATTTTAATAACGCAGCTGATGCGACAGTCGATGACATTGAAAAATATACAGTTTATACAGACGGAGCACACTATAGTCTTGTCTACAATAATACTATTTTCGTAATAAGTGCAAACATAATATAATCGAATAAAGTTACGATGATAATATATCGCCACAGTGTGCGTGCTGAATCCGTCGAAAAGAGATTTTAGACGAGCGCGTGCCACACACACTCGTATATATATATTATGATACATCGACATGGCCGTTCAAACAATACATACGCACACATAATATAATACTATATACAAAATACAATATTTAGGTGATTCACCCAATGCCCTACTGCTGCTGTACATCACCACGGTGTGCACTGTGTATATTTACTCAGTCCGGGCGCAAAAATATCGCACACTCCCCTGCGTCGACAATATATATATGTGTGTATGTCGCGAGTGTCTGAAAGCCGGCCGCCGATGGGGGGGAGTGGAGACCGCGCGCAGTCCGACCGAGGGTGGCACCTCCCCGGCGGTGACACAAAAGGCGAGACACGGATTCTGTTTATCGAGTTCATTGTGTTTTTTTCCTCCCCTACACCTCCGCCCCGTCGGCGTATATATCTCCCTAAATTTTCGCCGGACTCGATCCCCGGCCGCGGGAGGGTCCATCGCTCGCGTATACTGATTTATAGGTTAGTCGGTTTTCGGAACCCGACCCGGTAGACGCGCACACACGACCGACAACCATGTCCGCGTACGACTGGCATCCGCACCAGCAGCAGCAGCAGCAGCAGCCGCAGCCGCAACAGCAGTTTGTCGTCGACGAAACTCATCTACACGAAGGCAAAGGTAAGTTGAGAGTATATAATACGTTATTATACTTCCTAGTCAGAAAAATATAGTATCGTGCACAACGGAGCGGGAGTCGGAAACGACACACTATTAACATGACTTTTGTAGGAAGAACTATTTTCGTTAAACCGTCCGTCGTGTTCCAATAACTCGTTTTATGGGTTTTTTCAAATATATATATATATGTCGTGTGGTTTTCTCCGCTTTTTCAGGCGCCAGCAAAAGGTCCAGACAAACTTACTCGAAATACCAGACGGCCGTGCTGGAGACGGTGTTCCAGACTTCCAGGTATATCGTGCGGAACAAGAGACAGCAGATGTCGGCCGAACTGAGCCTGACCGAGCGGCAAATAAAGATATGGTTCCAGAACAGGCGGATGAAGGAGAAGAAATGCCACAAGGAAGCGCCGCGGATCGTCGTCGACCGGCAAATGCCTCAGCTGAGGGGCGAGAGATGTCCACCTGGGACATTGGCTGTCGGTTATGCCGAAGACTATTGCAGCAACGTAGTCGATCCGGCCGATGACCCGCGGGAAGAAGACGCTTTCGTCAGTGGTTACCAAACTGCAGTGACCAAACACCGACCGGACGACGGCGTCGGTTACTCCGTGTACGGTGGATACGATTTGCTGACCGCACCCGATCCGTACGACCAACGTGTGGCAAAACAACAATGTTGGCCTGSTCCCGTCGACTTCCATCAAGACTTGTACGGCGACGTAAGCATATTATAATACATTAATTAACTATAATATTGTTAGAACTTATAACATGTACGTAAGTATAATAAATAATAATAATTTTTGGGCTCATCAAATGCATATACAACTATTAGATTAAMGCGCGCGACCATTATTGTGTCTCTGAAAATACAAATCAAGTTATTATGTCACTCGTAAGATATCACTCGTACTTTATAATATGGTATCTGATAAAACAAACACCGTGATCTATCGCAATAAATATGACGTAATACGAACATGTTCAGTGGGCCCAATAATTATCTTCTTAAAGAATAAAATATAAAAATAAAATGTACATAAATGAAAATAATCACACACGCGTGCAGCCATCTCTTATTTCAATGCGTTTATCAAACAAATATTGTATCATACAATATTATTATTTAGTAGATCTGATAGTAACTTATTACTTATATACATACTAATATAATATCATAGAATAGTATTTCAACTGTTGTTTTGTTGGAAATATTTTTWAAGACATTTTCTGATATAAAAATATATTTCCATATTAAACACCTGTATTTATTTGAAAAATCAATTTCATTTCATAATTTTTTTTTTCAGCACGATTCAAGTCATTTTCAAAGATTGCCGACGACTCATCACCACTATCCGTTGAATTCACAAGTAAATAATATTATTAAAATTGTTTATTGATATCTAACTGACTATATATTATTGTATATTATTAATTGTTATTAATTGGCGCGGAACGAATTACGTTCTTACATTTAATATACGATTATATTCTATAAAACTAATCGAAGAAATTATTATTCTTTAAATCTTAAATCTACGTCTGAGAGCGATTCTATTTTAAATAATATCGGATTTTTTATRTTATATAATAGTTTCACAGCAGTGATAACGCGTGTTGTGGTTTTTATAAGCTAATTGCTATTAGTATTCGGTTGATTGTGCRTCATAAACCATATTTCATAATTGAAAATTCTGACCAACAAACGTTTGTATCATAATTACGATTTGTTATTATATCTATACACAACCCTTGTGCCATCGACTATATTGATGATGATAATAATTTATAAAAGTCTCGATATCGTATTGTAAGTCGTCCAAACGCGTTTAATTTAAATTCGATTTACAATAAGTACAATATGCGCCTCGGAGAGAATGCACATTACGTTTATTCATGTGTTCAAATTGGTGTTCGCAGGTACAAGACTACTGTTCRCCACAGCTGCAAGCTGCGCATGGTTATTGACGGCGGTCACTATATTCTTCAAAACGATTGTAATWATATTAGGTGTGCGCAGTTCGTCCCGCCTGTATAATATTATAATATTCATTATTCCATAATATCTTTCGACTGGTGCATGGTGATAAAATTCTAGTCAATTCAGAAAAAGGTGCTGTCCAGCTGATGAACAATCGTCGGGTGTCGCGTAATAGGGCCAATCATAATAATATTATCACAGCATCATGATAAAATACACTAAAACTCCGTCAGAATATTACGCACCCTTTCGGATCAGACCACCCACACGCAGTCACCAAATGATGCTGCAGCTACCTAGCTACTACACATATACGTGGACCTAATCCAATCTGACACGTTAAATGTGAACCATTCATTATTATTATTATTATTATTATTATCCTTTTTTTTTACATACAAATGAAATTATAATCAAAATTATAATATATCGTACGTTAATAATATTATTATTATAAGTATATTTCAACATAGTTTATGTATATTGTGCATGTATGCCTCTATGTTTTTTCGTGTGTTTTATGATTTTAAATATAATATAATTTATATATACAATTAAATATTAATACAGGTTTTTTTTTCAATCATTTATAATAGTCGACATATCGTATATATAGGTTAAGCAGGTTCGGCACTTCTTTGGAAGATAACGATCATGTAATAATTAATGAACGTAATAAAAATCCAAGTAAGTAATAATAGTAAAATTAACAGCCGGATATAAAAATATGGAAATTAGATGCTGCAATACGTGCGCATTTCGCTGATCGAAACCCGTGCATAATAACGCATATTATTGCGTCKATGGCATACACGCATTGTGCATTATACCTACCCGTASATATTGTACAGGAGTCTTTCGTTCGTCGGCACGTACGCGGGGGTTGCTCTCCTGCTGCGCGCGACCATTTAATCGCGCAGCTGCCGCGTCACCGTTGTGCACACGACGATATTTTTCAGGTAAGTCCTGCGGAGGGTTTCGTGTTCATGTAGTCTCGTGCTGACGTGCTGACTGCGGTTTATACCGGACATAAAGATAGATATAACATTGCTATAATAATGGTTTTTTTGCACAGACAATATTACGAATAAATTACGATTTTATTGTAATATGTTATTGTTATATTTATTGAAGCGGTCATAAACACTATAAAAATCGTTTTGTTTCTTGCGTTCGGCCGTTACACGTGGCTGAGCGTATTATTTCGTCTTTTGTCACCCCTWTCTAATTATTAAAATATATATAACYTATACTCATTAACAGCGAAACCTCGAGAACTCGWATCGGTAATGGGTAAACAATGATGTTGATGATTTGYTGTACCAAAATATGATTTATAGTAAAAATTAKATGGATCTAATACGTATTAAAATTCAGCAACCAAGATATTTCTTCATGTTATCGATAATTTGACTTCAAGCGATTCCTTGAGATTTAGAGGATGTTTTTCAATATACCAATAATACATAATATACCTATAGGTAACTAAAAGAAGCTTGTACATGAATTTATTCTATGGCCCACGAATTTTTTTTTGCTTATTCATAGGGTTGCCATTTATTGGTTATATATTATATATTACTATTATAATTATTAGAGATATATACATATTTTTACAAATGTATTTATATTTTAAAAAAACAACAAATCTTTGACATGATGGGTATCGCCACAGCAATAAAGTATTATACGACTCAACACAAACTATAGGACCAATACTAAACATTACGTAGGTATTTAATATTTTTTAATTAACATTTATAATACTATGATATTATATGCTTCCGCCGATAAACTAATATAGTTATGATGTTATAGCCACATATAATAAAATATATAAGTCGAAGAATTCACGTACACGTTGATTGGAAGTATATTATATACCTGCTTATGTTAGCTATATCTCGTCGTCCGCTAAAATACCATTGCAGCTCCGCTTATATTATATGGTATTCGTATTCTTATTGTATTTAATACAATATAATTTAATATGTGTGTCAGAGCGCGATGGCCGATTATAGCAACGTCATCGTTGCACCATGATGACAAGCGCGACGCGGTAGCGTAGAAAATATAAAATACGAGATGGAGAACGGCAGCGCCGACATATACCTAATCTGCAGATGGACATTAAAAACACATTTACAGAATGAATTTTGCAAAACATCGCGTGAATTAACCGGTACTGTGTGGGAAAACTATGGTTTGTGGTCGATGAGTATACCTACCTATTATACCTGCCTACTAACTCACATGTATTAGCAGTCGTAGTAAAGGTTGTATATATAGTAGCTGTACCTACACAGTGCAGGTTACCCCGTTACAAGTAAGACCTTGCAGGTAAATTTCGCTTTCACAAACAACAATTATTACTSAGTAATCCATTTTTATACCAAATATAAAATATTTCTGCATGGTCCAGACATTGGAGTACAGCTGCTCACCGGCCGAGTGTTGTBTCAGAGCATTTTGTGTCACACAAATGTATCTATTATTCAGCTAAAAATAGGAAGGCTTTTTTCCAAAAAAATGTGATTTCAGTAAGTATACCTATCTTTCTATCTATGATGACTTGCATAATAATTTATCGTCGTATATCTGATATCAGAACATTTTTTCTCGAAACAATTTTCATCCGTATAGCATGAACTACCGTAGCGTGTATAAGTAGCACTTATAGGTACACAAACTCAATATATATTATTAAGTTCAATTTTAATRGAAAACCAAGAAAAACAATGGTGATACAAATATAATCAATCTCCAACACTATCTGCAAAAAACGGTTTAATTTGACTAAAATGCATTCAAAATTCAATTAAAATTTTTTGATGGTTTATCATCAATTAATTGGCTTTGTTCCAAGGAAAAAGTTTATTTACGACGAGTTCAGTATATTATGAACTGACAAAATTTTGCTGACTATTTTTAAAATTGTTATTTATTTATARTTTGAGTCTATTTAGTAAGCAATCGTATAGTATTTAGATCATTCTTTTGTAATTCAAAAAATATATGTTATCATATTTCCAGAAAATAAAACATATAACTTATTATCGTATTCAACACGAGTTATAAATATATATATATACCTAATATAATACAATATTATGTACAAAATATATTTATAATAAATACCTATAAGAGTACTCTAATAGTTGTGGGTACTCTCAAAATGCATCCTTCAGTCTGTTTAACTAACGAAATGTTATTTTTTTTTTTACCACTAATAATCTCGGATTACGTCACTACATGGTTGAACAATATTTTAGTAAGTTTCGGTCAATAAATTTTTGAGACTTGTGAATTATAATATGGTTATATTTTTTTGAAAAATAAAAATACCACAATCGAACTATTATGTGAATACTTTTAAAAGGTTTTTTTATATGTATAAAAATGCCCAAGGGATGTACAATAGGTATCTATGTATATGATATATAGTTATACAATATACCTAATATTATTATACAAACGAAATATTTCCGGAAATATTTGTGAAATATGTGAATTCATTTTTTTCACGATTTTTTYTTATATRCCCTGCAATACCTATATTATATCATATTATAGTGCGTAATGTTTACACCATCACAAGAACAAAACATTCAGACACAACAGTTCACGGTCGGTGGTAGCGGCGGCGGATCTTCTTAATGGTTTTTTCCGTGACGATCTCTGCGCTCGGAAACACCGTGACCGAAACGTTGTGCATTCACGTCCACCCTGCGTCGCGAATCAGCTGCTGTCCCTTGTTTTTTTCGAGCACCCTGAGCAAATAAAAAATAATAATATTAACACACGTCCACCGATACAGCGATGACTGATGATCTCTAATCGACCACACGCACGTCATATTATTTTACATAATGCGCAATGCATAATAAATTGTATTATTTTGATACGTGCACTAAAATAAAACTATCGAATCCCACAAAATATTATCGATAGATGATAATAATATTATACTGGTACTCTATATGCGCTGTGTCGCGTTATAATAACAATGATAAGCGTGACTATATTAAAATATAAAAGACAACATTATCACGTATATATTATATATAGTTGCCAACCTTTTGCCGCGCGTACTATAGTGAAATATAGGTATATCACGCAGAGTGATTARGTACTTCAGAATATTAAAAATTACAATACTAATGTTTTGCGTTTTACCATTATTATTGGTTTCACGTCCTAAAAACTATATAAACAAAATTATAAGTACCAAAACTAAATAAACAAATAAAAACTTAGTGAGAACCGGATTCAGAAATATTACATGTATATTATTATTATACTYAAGTTATAAACACCAGTTTTTTACAATTTTGAAATATTTTGTTGAATTTAAAATGGTTTATTTAGTTATATATACCTACGTAATATACCGCAATAACATTTTAAATTATTAATAAATTAGTGACGAAAACGTTTCACTCATGTTTTAAATTATAATCAAATATTTTTTTTTTATCTGGGACGCCTCTTTTGTACGTATTTCTCAAAAACAATGAATTCTAGGTGTTAAGTTTAGAAAATAACCAATACGTTATAATCTAAACTGAATAAACCAAAATGTAATCTGGAGTCCATATAGGTGACAATATTGAAAAAGGCTGGTCACAATACACTCGAATAAAATAGGTATAAAAATAATTACGTAGGGATWCATAAATACTCATAATCTGGTGAGTTCACATTCGTTTAAGTCTCCGCGAACATATTAGTCAGTACTATAGCTGCTGCAGTTGCTATAGTCACCGGACGACTACGAAGAATAATAATTTTAATAATATTCTATCTATGAACAAACCGTAGGTATATRATGCCGTGGACAGTGTTTACGGGCACCAGGTTTTCGACATTATAATATTCACACTCCCCACGCGGCGTTGATAATAAAACCTCACCCGCGGACGTTTGTAAATGATGTAAATATGAAAATTTATTTTTCTCGCGGTTATAATCCGGCGAATAAAAGAAATAGGGTGCAGTGGCTTCGCTCCACCATACGTCGTTTTCGTGATAAAGTGAATTCGATTAGAATAATAATATCAAGGGCCACTCATGCATATATATTATACATACATATATTCGTGTTAACTATTATACTTATGCTCTTCGTATATTATGTCCGATAAAACTTTTCACGGTTGTATACTATAAAACACTGATCGATTCCATTTGTACACAGTTTGCAGGTTGCCCAAAGTCGTTTTCATACCTAGCTATATATATCCGCAGCGACATTAGTGATGAAACAATAAAGCATCTCGGCTACGATAATAAAATTATTCACGATTGAGAATGAGAACGACAAAAAAGTCTATTAAATCGAAAAAAAATTCGGAGTAACACGCCAATTTGGTCGTCATCATTAGTCAAAAATAAAACAGAAAAACAACAACAACAACACGAACCACCGCGCGGAGACCCTCTGAGAATTCCTTTTATACTCATTTCGAATGGTTGCATGTCATGCATATATATATATATATATA